CAACCAAATTGCCCAGCTCAGCGAACAAGCCAACGACCAGAGACTACTCTGTTACTTCAAAAGTTTTTTTGCGCCTGGGGCGAAGGAAATAATACCGGTTGAGGTGGCTTGGTGGTAAAATCTCAAGCCTCAAAATGAAAGACTTTGGGCTCAATTTCAGTCTCCACTTTCTCACTTTTCTTGTCAGCGTCTTGATAATATGACGGCTCATCAGCTCATTCAAATTCTTCAAGCATCAGGGGAGCCGAACATTAGAAAAACGCCACAAGTAGGCTTCATTCTGTTGAAAAATATTCCAAAATGAAGACTAATTTGGGTTTGTCGTTAGTTACTACATTCCGACGATCACGTACAACTCAGTATTTGAGCAAAAAGGGTTTGTGAAAACTCTGAGACTATGTCTGTTTAACCAGTCACAAGAACGGTGAAACCAGTCTGGGGTTTTCAAAGAGAATATTGCGTTTTGCCGAAAAATTGTTCACCTGGAACGCTGACCTACACTGGGAATTCTTGTTTTTATTTGACAGAAGTGGAAACGAACAAGAAAGGAAGTCAACGTGCTATACTGTTAAACCCACTCACTCTGCTGGCAGACTCCATGTTTTGGGGAAAATCGCGTACTCTTTAGGAAATATTTTGGCCATTCGGTTCAAATTTCTCGCAAGTGAATCCTTTCGGCATAATTCGGACATGCCAGGAAAATGATTGATTTTCTAAAATAAAGATGTACAATCGTCCAACTGAATACTGCAAACCCATAAATGTCTCATGTAAATTGTTTTGAAGCTTTATCGACATTTCGCTTGTTTACATAGTTACGGTGAGTTTGAGTCAGTCGTAAGTTTCAGAAGTGACTTACAAAACGGCTGGTACTAAATTGAACCTAGTTCCCTTCCAATTCAGACTGAAATAATGAAACACTACCAGTGACACCATGTTATTTTATCAAATAATTCTGTTTTTCTCCCTATACTTCTGATGCACCCTTACACATTCCGTCAAAGTTTAATGGGTCTTCATACGCATATCCGCACAAACAGTTTAGTACCCAGGTTAATCACCGAATGCGAACTGAAAATCTTTGCGTTCTGTTGGATGGATTCGTTAATCTGACATGACTGTTCAGTTTTTCCACTAGTTCTAAATCTTTTAAAGGTTACGGGGGAGCGTTACCAACCTTCTCCTAACCTATTCAAGTCAGAATAGCCAAATTCTTAAAATACATCAACTCAGGTAGATGTCCCAATAATTATTGGTGAGTTTCGACATTATGAAACAAAATCACCAACCTTATGTTGGCTTAGTTCGGCAGCAAACAACTTGTGTACATCAGACTTTAGTTTGTACCGTAACTCAACCGACCAACAAATGCACGCTTCACGCCCACCATGTAGAACCTATACTTTGCTTTGTATTGCAACATGCTTTTAAGAACGCGATCCCATTAAAACCATTTCAAAAAGTAGTAGAAATTCACAACAAACAAGCAACTTAGCCGTACGACGTATCTCAGGCAGCTGATTAAGCGTTCCATAGGGAATGTTCTACAGACAAATGAACAGGTGACCAAAGGAGTTTTTATTGTTGAAAAAAAATTCAGACAATATCAACTATAACAGCGTCTGTCGATTGTTGCGGTAAAAAGTACGGTGACGTACTGTTTACGTACTAGCTCCATTTGTTCTTTCTCTTTGAAATATGTGTTCAGGGGGAGGGCCATCTGATACTTTTATATCTGGTATTTAATGACAACATTAGCTGTAATGGCTGGATACGTTGTACACCGGAGCATAAATTGTGCCAGCATAGAGCTGAATTCATTATCGACCAAGATGAAGAGGGTAGCACGCATATTTTGCCGACTAGGCTTCCACAAAATGAGACGTATCGTTTTCGATCTTCCGTGAAATACTACAGCCAGAAGTCATCTAGTAGACATTAGTAGCGAAGGATTTAATCCTTCTAGCGCAACCAGTTACTTACAACTAAATGAAATTCAAGTCCCGTTTACGAAGGCAAAACGTTTCAAAGACAAAACTAAATCTACTTCAAAGTCGTCTTTTGAATGCGATGTGATTAGTCGGTTGAGAACGCAAAGCCATTTTCTAAGTCATTTGATACTGTATGCTCGAATTTATTCCTCGAAACTCGTTTCATTACCAGCCAGTATGGAAGACTACTACTAAGTAGGTATCTTTTGGTAAAGGGTGCAACGCGAGCATCCCATTTTCAGTCTGCCAACCTGACATGGGACGCATATTTGTTGGTTTAAAACATTCTGACTCGCCAACTGTTTCAAAAAGCGAATTCGCCAATAACACTGTTATTTTTAACAAAAAACTGTATTTTGAGGTAGTCTGTACGAGAATTTGCATGACCAAACACATCCTGATTAGCTTCAAAGAAGTAACCAGAATTACACAGTTGACCATTTATTACGCTAACAGTTTGAGACAAAAAGTCTTCCTCTGTCGTACAACATTTTAATAGCAGCATAATAATTCCTGTATCCATAGACTAGTGACAAGCTTAGATGATTTGGTGAGAAAACTTAAACGGAAACGTTGATGTCGTCGAATCAAGCTCTTTAGTTGTGTTTGGATTACTAGTGCTGTGATCACTGCTATTCATCCTAAACGGCGAAACTACCTAGCTGTATCATGCATAACCCGTTTGTTAAGCAACTCGCCCACTTACAGACTCATTTTTTCTATGGAGGACCTAAAGAGTAAAACGACTGCTGAGTAATAATTCGAGACAGAAATGTTTAAGAGTTGATCTCGTAGTTTTAGGAGGTAATATATAGCGCCATGAAACGAGTTGCGCCGGCGTAACCTTCTTGAGGATATCAAAAACAACCAGCGCAACAAGGCAGTATTTTACAAGTAACCCGAGATTCCTAGAATTGTTCTCACTTGGAATGAACTAAACCAAATTTCAGCTAAGAATTCCGTCTGCATCATTTTATTACGACGCAAAAAAGTGTAAATCTTAACTTGTCATTCACTTTTAACAGATAGCGACGATCTACGTTCAAGAACACTAGGTCTTATTCGTAACTTACCTGCCATGTTTTCATAACAAATACTCTGTCAAGAGAAACTGAAAAATCCGTCCAATAGAGATTCCATTCATCGTCTTCTTCGACTTCACGAAATCCAAATCTGCGAGCCACCCGGCGAACTGGAGTAGGAAATTGCAAATCACATTCCTTAGTAAATTCTGCTTAATTAACGCAAGTTCAGACAAAAGGTCATATTGGTGTGAATCTCAGAACGTAATTTGATCAAGAGAAATGGCATCCGCATAAACGGTCTTTGCGCACCACCTAAAAGTAAGAGTTACTTGGATGCAAGATTCGCTTTTCTTGCACATTTGTTACCTATGGTCAATACGTTCACTCGTCATAATAAGAAATTGACAATTACGCTGTGAAAAATCATTATTCAGGAGTCACTGTTAAACAAACCAAAAACCTTACATGTTCTTCATTGGTGTTCTGCTGCCAGTTGACACTCGTGTGTATAGGGTGGTTTGGAATCTAACACACTTAAAGACACACTCTCTTATTTCCATGTTACCGATGAGTGACCGTAATTAACCTACGTTCCGGAACATTGAAGAAAAAGCGTAGAGCCTAGCAATGATAATCATAGTGAACAGACAAGACCAATACCCATGTTAGCGACTTTCTTCCCGGATTCACAGATAAGCCAAAACCTTCAAAAGTTGATCTTTATTTTGGTACCAGGATTTTCTCTAAAAGTTTTGTCGTAGCCCTTTACTCTATCTACCTAGTCCACTTGGACGTTACGTCACAGCTCGATGGTCAAGCCCCATATTCTGATATCATTCAAAGCCTGGAACTTTTAACAAAACTTTTCAGTCACCGTTATTTATTTCGGAACAACTAAACAAAAGAAATGCAGCGAAAGCTCAATAGCAAACAGTTAAAAAATGTCGTTTCGGTTCCAAGAATGGACTGTCAACATGGAAGTACCTGCTTAATGGTAGAACGCTGACCCGTATTAGTTCATCCGGCGTTTTTTCACGGTCCAAACGCTTTCAAAACGCTTTTGTTTTAGAGTAAAGACCTGTAGATGGATTCTTCATGTCTACACTACATCAACTTTACACTGTTTTGGCGGTCGTCGTGTGTTGTTAACCATAAGTTTTCCATTCTCCATATGTGAAATGTTATATTTTCCAACTTGCTTACTTTCTGTGAAATCTACGGCTCATAGCCAGAAGACTGTATTATAGACTTCCACTTTCCTGGCAATCCAATAGGTATATAATATATTAGTTCGACGTTCCAAAGAGCAAGTCAGGACCATTTTTCACAAAGTAAAGTGAGGTCGACGGATATATTCACGGAGCGTATGGGCCGCTGAATATAGCAACAAACCTCATACAAAAGGCTGTAGCTTCACACCGGACAATACTTCAAAGCTAAAGTAAGGACCAAAATGTGCGCTCTGGCAGTCTTTGTACATCAAAACGTTAAACAACTCGATGGTTTTATTAGCTATGACGGAAATGTGTAATGAAGTCAATGCAAGAATCTCAAAGACCTTGATCACGTTTGCTAATTTACGTCACTTGTGGCGCCAAAAAGTCATCTCACTAGATCTAAATGGTCGCGTGTACTAGACCATATTAAGTAAGGCGTTGTTGTGTGGGTCTGATCCGTGGCCTCTTAGGACCAATGATGCAAGACGGATTCAGAGTTTTGACCATTAGTGTCTTGGAAGCATTGCCAGTTTTAGCAGCCTCAGCGGACTAGTAAGAGGCTGATTAGAATATGGGCATTTGGTTGCGCGTCATGTATTTCATTCATGGATAACATTCAAAACCACCGACAATGATGGCTCGGCCATGTACTACGCATGCTGAAACACCGTCTATTGAGACGAGTGTTGTTCTCTGCGGCTCCTTCATAACGGCGCAAATCGCGAAACAGCCAACATATGACTCAGCAGAAGGGCATGAAAAAGCTATGAAGGTTTTGAGTGTCCTTAGTGTTGTACGCCTTCCGGGATTGGGTCCCAGTGCCCTCGCCTGTGCTTGGCCTGAGAGACTTCAAGAAATGGCGGCTGAGTAATGCCAGTAGCGTTCAGACTGTCTGACTGAGTAGCTGGAGGTGTAGACACCTCATAAGTTTTGATACTGGGTAGCAATAGGTCCCCTTCCTCACCCGCCCTCTTTATTTTTTTCACTCAAAGGCTTTAAATATAAATAAGCAAACCTTATGGTTGTACGGTAGTGAAGTATCAATGTCAACACTGATGTTGCTGTCTCCGATAATGGTAAAAGTGGTGTCAGAAGAAAATTTTCGAGGAGTTAAGACACTGCAACAAGTATTGTGTACTGGATAAAATTACGATGTTGCTGCTCCGATAATGGTAAAAGTGGTGTCAGAAGAAAATTTTCGAGGAGTTAAGACACTGCAACAAGTATTGTGTACTGGATAAAATTACTACACCCCACCACACAACAAGATGTGACTAACAGTTCAAAACAAGTGCTAACAAGAATAATCAGCTACGTTTCTGTCGTAGGATGTCATTTTCAGAACTCAATGCTTTTATTATGGCTGTTATTGATCTTCTGAGTCGGTTGGATTTTCTCATACGTCGTTTGATTAAACTACCACGGCTCCAAGCTTTTGCTGAAGTTGTATTGAATACACCCGGTACAAAGAGCCTTTCAGGAATGAAAACGACCTTTTAGTTAGTTAGTTAACTCTAACGTTTTTTACCACTTTCTGACGTAGTTCCCCGAGTGCACGGTGACTCATCAAGCTAGACAGTTCTGCCTTTAGTCTAATGTTTATTTGAAAAGGTAGTGAAAGAGGACGAGCATAAATATGGTACGGAAACATAGTTGACTGTCACCTTTGGTCACCTGGAACATGCCGCCTCTGAAAAACTTCTGCTGACCAAATGGTAACCGCTAAAGGGTCTAATAAAAAGAATAAAGCCTCTATACATAGTATTTCGAAGACTTTTGCACTTGTTTTCAAACACCTATGCGACTATGCTCCGTGATTACCAATTTGTGATTTTTATGGCAATACCAGTTTTTTGGTTGATATAAATTGTTCGCCAATTACAAAGTAAAAACATGAAACGACAAAAGGTAGGGACCACTGAAGTAATTGCAGTAGCCACAAATTTTAAGCCTTATGCTCTTCATGTTTCTAACTTGCATGCTAGTGTCATCGTCCTCAGCTGTTTAAACAGTACTTATTTGGCAGTGGTTACAGGTGTGACATTTTTGTTCGCCGATACTTTGGGAAGGTATGAGTGGACAGCTTCGCATTGGAGGCAGCAGCTGGTATAATTGAGGCGGTAACACAGGGGTGCCAATAGTATGATCACTGGGGAGATCGGAAGGGGGTGCATGTATTAAGCACAATCACTTGGATGTACGTGCTCTATTGAGCGCGCGACTAACGATGTTCGTTCAGGCATAACTTCATTTAGCGAAACACACTCATTTGCAAACTAATTTGGTTTTGCAGCAGACTCAATGGAACCCAGCTGAATCTCTCATTTGTGATGTTTCCAAGGTACCAATGTGCTGCACTAAGCTGTCACATGTTTCAGTCCCTACGATATTTGAGATGTCGCGATACATGTATATTCGCAATGCACTACTCACAAGCTTGCTGAAAATTCATCGACAGCCCACGACCGGTTTCGCCCTTCTTTGGGCTCATCACTTAGGCGCAGTCCCCGAGTTTACGTCAATTTTATGTTCTACTTGAAACCGTTTACACCTGTGTACACCGATATACCAGTGAGCTGTGTTGCTCTGTTATATCGCTGCCTAGTAAAATTTCCTTCCTATCGATCTTTTTGTCGTATTAGAATCGGGTTGTTTTGGCACCCCTCAAACTACACTACCATTCTAAATATATTTTACGTTAAACGTAGTTATCTGGGTCAGTAATAACCGGGTCTATTTTAGTTTACCCAGCCAAACTGCCGTTAGGGAGTACTGAATTTTGGAGGAACTTTGAACATATTCATGTTGTAGAGGCATATTTGCTGTTTTAGCTGTGAAAAGAAAAAACGTTCGCCGCCTACATTCACCATCACGATAGCTGACTGGCATAAACTTCTGCTGGATCCAGCTCTGACTGGAGGAAGCAAAGTGCCGCCGGATGAGATAAACTGACACTAACAACATCGTGAATGCTGAGAAATGGAGACAGGGAACAGCACAATACCTCCCAAAAGCCAAACTCGGAGTCAGAATAGTGATTCATTAGTAAGCGAAAATCTCGCGACAACTCTTCATAGACGGCAAATCCTCGGTGACAAAAAAATGGCCAATCTGACCACAAACTATTAAGTTCTAAGAACTAGCATTCTTGAAACATTATTTTGCAAAAATTAGCATCTGAATCTTCACTTACCCGAATCATACTTGCAGTTCGAGAGGTTTATGGTGTACAGACTGTAGTGAGCAAAATGTTAGGTAGATTATAGAAGCAAACCGTTTTTTCTTCTTTTTCTTCGAGGAATGCGGCGGTAACTTATTACCTAATTTGGCTTTAGCATCAAATGCGGATGATTAACACACATATCCTTACTTGTCAATACATCATGGTGCTCTTGCCTCAGTTCTTCACTCTCACTAATTTCTTCTGTATCCTCCGGGGGTAGGATGAACAAATTCTCATCATCTATTAGGCCAAGACCACGCGAAACTGACGCTTCATCATTATTTACTTCGCATACATCATTAGGTGCATCATATACAGAAGACGAAGAAGAAGAACTTCCTTGATCACCATGGTCGATTGTATTTGATAACGCTTTTGTACGAAACTAGTTCATATATAGTTTGTCAACATTTATCCTCTTACGTATTTGGTATCGTCCATCGAATTCTTCGACCGACTTCCTTTTTATCACCGAAATGACGCCATTTTCGTCAGGCACTTTTGCTTCCGGAATGGGCACAAGAATGCCTAACATCCATATGAGGTCCGAGAATGTAATCAAATCATAATGTGCGGGGTTTGCCTAGATCTTAGCAACCTTTGCTCGCTAAAACAACCGCGCCATCCTTCAGACGGCCCTTCACTAGTAGGGAAACGTGGACCCACCACCCATATATTTGACCCACTAATTCTCAGGCGCCCAGAACTTCAACATATTAAACACCAGGCGAGAAGTTGCTCAGGAGGACTGTTTGCAGCGGCGCTAGTTCACGGATTCACGGATTCACTGATTGATACACAGGATCAAGGATTATGCCCAAGATTCCCGGGTCGCTTTTGTACTTGTCCGTCAGTGGCTGTTGTTCACCTGAAAGGCACAAGTGAAAAAAGGGTGTAGCACTGCTCTTTATGTTCTCAGCGAGGGGCAGTATGCTCGCCAGTGCAAGAATACGCATAATTAAATGTCTAATAGTGCTTTAAATTTGGTTCTAGAAGAAGCGTGTACAACCGTCGGAGGAAGGTCATTCCACGCAGCTACTATCCGAAACGAGGAAAAAATTTGTCTAATGAATGTATGTGCTCCGAGCATGAAAATATTCTTACCATCTCCTTGCCGTGTGTTCGCTGGGTCAACGGTGAAAAACCTGTTTGCCAAGCTTTGTTCAAACAGGGCATAAGTAAGAATTAGGTCTCCTCGGAGGCGACGGTACTCGAGGAGAAATAGATCAGGCATCGCGAGACGCGTTTCGTAGTCCACGGATTTGAGGCCGGCAACAATTCTCGTAGCGGCCCGCTGCACACGCTCAATGAGGGTGACATCTTTCGTACGCCCTGAGTAGACAACTTGGTTGGCGTATTCCAGGAGCGGTCTGACGTAGGCCCCGTCGAGTATTTGGAAGTCCATGTGAGTGATACGGGAGAAGGTGCGTAGGATCATCCGTAAAGTGGCGAATGCCTTTTGGGACGATTTCTCATGGTGTAGTGAGAAGGACAATCTTGAGGAGACCCAGATGCCCAAATCCTTTTGGACATCTATCCACATGATGTTTTCTGGTCCCTTTTTACCATGCATAACAAAGGCATTTGCTGATTCCCCTCAAAACGACATATGGACGCACTTTCCATCATTCAGAGGAAGGTGCCAGTCCAACGACCACTGCTTGACAGCGTCTACACCCAGTTGGAGGATGATGGCATTGAAACTCCAGGATTTCAAGTCGTCCGCAAAATGTAGACATGGACTCGCAAGGACGTCTGGGAGGCCGTTGACGTAGATCAGAAACATTACTGGTCCCAAGGCGGAGCCTTGAGGAACTCCAATGGAGACCGGCACTGGAGAGTAATATGTCGAGCCTATTCTCACTCGGAATGATCTGTCTGATGGGAACGCCTTGATCCAGCGAAAGATTTTCCCTTGAATCCCGCGAGACTCGAGTTTGTGGAGCAGCGGGACGTGTGGGACCCCATCGAATGCTTTTGAGAAGTCGAAAAATATGGCATCCGATATGAGTCCTTCGTCCTTGGCTTGAGTTAAGCTGTCCATAAACACGAGCATGTTTGTCACGCAAGAGCGGTTTGGGAGAAATTCGTATTGAGCTGGAGATACCAGGTTGCTGGAAGTAAGGTGATCTCGGATAGCTCGCTTCAGAATGTGTTCCATCACCTTGCACGTCACACTTGTGAGGCTTATAGGTCTATAGCTGCCAGGCGATAGTCGGTCACCAGTTTTGTAGATTAGCGTGACAGTCACTTCCTTCCAAGCAGAGGGGAGGCGGCCTTCGTCAAGCGACTGACGAAACACCAAGTGTAACGGAGCGCTTGGACTCAAAATGTCGTTCCACCCACCAGATTCCGCGCAGGTCAACAACCATTCCTCCTGGATTTGGTCATCACCAACATAACAATTAACGCTCCAGTGGGAAGCTCCAGAAAGTTCACGAGGCCGACGCCACGTTCGTCCCAAAAAAACCAGCACGCACTCGGATGAACCGCAGGTTGCCAAAGGTATTCGGCGTCTTCTGGAAAAAAGGTCCCAACTCTTTCACAAAAAGCTGACTTCAGGGGATACAGAAAATGAGCTGCCATTTTGTAAAATGCTGAACCGCTGTAAAGCGGAAATCCGCCAATGGAACATACGAAAACACCTCACCATTCTGGACCTTGCTCGAAAAAACAAAAACGTCTTGTTCAAATATATGAGACATTGCCGCAGAAACAAGCCATCCGCGTTACCCTTGAGGGACAGAAACGGAGAACCAACAAATGACCGAACAGTGGTATCTGAGGTTTAAAGAGAACACTATGCGTGTTTGTACTCAACGCCAGCGTCTTTGTGAACATCCACTCTTGTCAAGGCGGATCTACGCACAGCCTCTAACCTACTTGGTCTTCACGAAGGAGGACATTCGTCAACTCTTGTGCCAGATTAACACATTCTACGCGTTAGGAGCCGACGAGTTCCATCCAAGGACCCCGAATCAAACGTCCTTCACACTGGCAAATAATCTACACCTGGTGTTTGTTTAGTCGCTTGACGAAGGCCGCCTCCCCTCTGCTTGGAAGG